AAGGTCAGCTTGGTTGGTGTCAACAAAGGCCTACAAAGAACATTTAGTAGGAATAAACTAGCTTTTCAAATTTGTGCTAGTGCATCGACTAGTGCATCAATCCTTTGCACATTCGTCCTCGGTGTTTTCTTTCCCAATGAGTGAATATTGCTGCTGCGGAAAGCTGTGGCAAGGTGCGCGGATACTCAAAGTTTCCGAAACCTGCCCGCAATGCGTCAAAGCAAATAAAGCCACAAATAATGCAGCGATGTCAACTTGCGGCAGCAGCGGTCATCTGATATTTTCACATTGTGTTCACTTCAACTCTCTGCACAGGAACAATGGTATTCTATTGTCATGTGCATGAAGTTCAAATGGATACAATGGCTTGATAAATTGTGGTGGCAATTAAAATGCCGCTGCTGCCACAAATAATGCCGCCAGTTGAAGTGGCCGCATTATTTGTGGCATTATTTACTTCGACACATTGCGGACAGGTTGCGGAAACTTTGAGTATCTGGGCACCTTACTGCAACTTTCCGCAGCAGCGATATTCACCTTTTTTCTTCGTGTATAGATTTCTTCCCATGTGTGCAGAGAGGCTGTTTGCACCTGTGCATCTTCTGATCATTCAGAATGGGTAATTCTGATGGTTGCAAAAAAAGGCAACAAGGAGAGCCGAAAATAAAGGAGAAGAAGTGCAGAGAAGTTGGCAAAGCTGGCTGTCAGACTTGTAGCTGTAAGACCCACCCCATGTTTTATTCCTCAGAATTGATGAGAAGGCAGACCTTAATTCAGCTTCTAAGAAGGCTTTCCAAACATCTCTTTTTGATGCCAGAGCATTCCATACAGAAGAGATGTAGCCCACTCTGCTGACACTTCCTACAGATCTATGGTATGTGTATTAATATCCATCATGCCTCTACAGAAGCAACATACCTCACCTGCCTGGCAACTTCTACAGATCCGGTGTGTGTATACTCATATCCATATACCCTCCTACAGGCTCAGTGTATCCCACCTTGCTGACCTCTACAAATTCGTCATATGTGTAGTATATTGTATTGATATCTATACATCTGCAGCTAAGCCTCCTGCATCCACCATCTGGTAGGTAGGTGAATGTGGTTTTATTTTTATGCCGTGGGCGGTACAGATGTTAGGCATCTCACGTAATATATATCCCCATCTACAGAATCCTACAGTGGCTCCAGGATTTATTCCTACCCGTTCTGGGCAGTTGTCATATCATATGAGGGTGATGGCTCCTTTAAAATACCTGCATGTCACTACTATTGTGCGTAGCGTTTTACAGGGGGGGGGTGTATGACATATTTTATTCAATTGGAAGGTCTGCAGGACGCCTGAGTATCCATGTTCAATATAATCTCCCCTTTCAGATCAGGTGTATGCCATATATAGGTGGGTTTTTCTACAGATATACTATATACTGTAGGTTGAATTGTTCCACGGAGATATATTGACATTCCAGTTATCTCCTACAGGCTGCATGTAT